ATATATATATAATACATATTTTGAGCCTGAGACTTCAATTAATGACAATTCTGTTTAACATTTAATAATACAATATTGTTTCAGAATTCTCTATGGAAAATAACAAAATAATTTGTTTTACTTTTAAAATAAACAATAGTTGTCACAGCAATGTGACATTGTTGATTTAAACTCAATTATGGTCATGAAATTTTCATATCTTAATTATGCGTGATCATGAATGAGCCACTGTTATGTTTTTTTCCTTGATATATGTTAATATGGAATTTTGGTTTGGTTTTTTGATCACCATCTTGCTATTACAAAGAATGTAAGTATGCCATTTAAAATTGTTTGCCTTTTCAGACTTTTTCTGACAAAACACAAAAAGTAGTTGGATTTCCATCAAGATTCGTCAGCTGGTAGACCAGTTTCTGCCCTCCTCCCTCATCCTTCCCTTCCAAGATTCACTTGATTTTCTGCAGGGCACTGCAAAGTATTCCAACTTCACCTACAAAGAAACACATTATCCACATGTTAGTTGCTGATCTTGTGCCAATCTTCAACGAGCCCATTGCTGCGGTCAGGGTTTCACTCCACCTAAATCACTTACTGAACAAGTCACATGTTCTTGGGGTACAAACACTAGGTAGACATCAGTGGAAGGATGGATAAGCTAAGTTCTGGCCTGACTGTGAGGGAATGTATAGCTTACTTGCAGCAATGTTCTTCTTTTTAAGAACATTTTAAAAAATGTTTTATCTTTTTATATTCCAACTTCCAGATGCATATGAAACAATTGAAAATACTATGGATTGGGTCAGTTGTACCATAGTCTTTAAAGTAACATCCTTGCTTTCTAGCACTTTAAAGAGGTCTTGGTGACCACGTGGTAGTTTTCTCTCTCAAGTTTTGGCTTTTGGCTTTCTTGGGGGATTCTCTGGAGTCCCACTTGCTACACCATTCTGATCTCTTATGGCAGTGGGATTCACTTTTTTACTTTTCCTTCTATATAATATAATTATGAAAAATTATCACAAAATGAAACCAAGTCACAACAACCCCTTTCCTTGATAATATTGTAGGGATAGCTGGAATTTTAAAAACCAAAAATCTAATAATCTTGACAAAGGAAGACAGGAAGGGAATCATGGTTCACCAAGTAAAGCTTCCTTACCCTTTAAAAAAAAAAAAGGTCTTGGTTTTGCCTCCTGGTGAAAAGACAGGGTAATGATGGGCAAGGTCCAAAAGTGATTCATTTTATACAACATAGTGTGTGAGAATGATTGTATGAAAAACAATATGACTGAGAAATAGTGTGAAATAATGTATGCAAACTTTGTAAGCAAACCAATTTAAAAAAAAAAAAAAAGGTCTTGGGCAGCAGATTTGCCTAATAATATCTTGACTTGTCTCCATGGGTATTATGCTATTCCATAGCAATTCAAGGCAGTGATAGTTTTGATAGTTCATCATATGTAATTCATTATGTTGGTGTTATGTGCCATTGAGTTGCTTGTGAATCATAGTGCCCCTATGTACAAGAGTCCTAAACCTTGCTCTATCCTGTGCAAACCTCTCTGTCTTCACAACACCTACTCCCATTACCCAAATCACTGAATCAATCCACCTCATAGAGGGTCTTTCTTTCCTGTGCTGTCCCTCTCCAAGGACGAGTCCCTTCTTGCAACATGCCCAAAGTATGTCAGACGAAGCTTTGAGAATTCTTGCCTCCAAGGAGCAGCCCAGTTTTACCCTCACAAGGATGAATCTGTTTGTTCTCCTAGCAGTCCATGGTATATTCAACACACTTCTCCAGCACCACAGCTCAAAGGCATCAATTCTCTTTCTGTCGTCCCTAGTCACTGTCCATTATAGCTTTTTTAAAAAAAACAATTTTAAATCTATTCTTTAGTGCACATTGTCTCTCCCCTTCCTTCCCTCCCTGTTCCCCACAATGCTCCTCTTGTTCCAAACTGTTCTCATACATATAATGTATACTCATGTACTCCATATAAACAGTTCTTCCCCTCGTCTGTTCCAATGCGGTGTTAATTGTCTACCCATCTCTTCCCCATTCCCTCTCCAACCCTATATCTGCCCTATTTTAGAACAGTGGTGCTACATAGTATTTATCCTTTAGTGACTGAGATGAAACTTAGCATAATGTCCTCAAGGCTCCCTCATGTTGTGTAATGTTATACTATTTCATCGTTCTTCAACCCTGTATAATATTCCATTTTGTGGATGTACCATAGTTTTTCTATCTATTTGTTTATTGATGAGCACTTGGGTTGCTTCCATCTCTTTGCTATTGTGAATAATGCAGCAGTAAAAATGGATGTTTGAGTTGTGGTTCTGGTTTCTTTAGGGTATACTCCTAGGAGTAGCATTGCTGGGTCAAATGGTATTTCTACTTCCAACTTTCTGAGAAAGTGCCAGACCACCTTCTACAGTGGTTGTACCAATTTACATTCCACCAGCAGTGAATAAGAGCTCCAATCTCTCTGCAGCCTCTCTAGCATTTGTTATTTGCTGCTCTGTTGAACTTTGCTATTGTTGCTGGAGCAATGTTCTTCTTGTGTGCTGAATCTACCCATACCTTATACTTCAGCAGCTTTTCAGAGGTAGTAAATTGCACAGGGGAGATTGGCTCTCCTTCTGCCAAGGAGCAGTTGGTGGACTCACACCTCATGCCTTTGAGATCACAACACAACTTCTTACCACTAAGCCACCAGCGCTCCCTTAGGGAAATAAGGCCTAGGCAATTATAGTATTGATAGGAAGAAGGTTTTTGAAGTGCTAGAGCTACAAGTGTAATTAGCTACCTCTCTCCATAAGTAATTTTCCAAGGGAAGAATCGACAAATTTCTTGCTGGGGAAATCATTCACTACTCTATGTCTCTTTATATGATTATCCTTAGAGAGCTCTGGTGGCCTGGTGGTAAGGGGCTGTGCTGCTAACCTGAAGGCAAGTGGTTCGTAATCAACCAGCTGCTCAGAGGAAGAAAGATGGGTAGTTTCCTCCTGTGTGATTTGTTGCTCTGAAAACCTGCTGGAAGGTCAGCTATGAGTTGGTTCTGACTTGATGGTGTATAATTTGTTATCTTTAGATGTTTACAAGGAGCTAAATCATTAAAACTGTGTTTCAAACAAATTTACTGTGTCAGAAACACCTGGGTCATTTATTGCATATACAAATTCCCAAACGTTACTTGAAATTTAGCCAATTTAGTCTGGACTATAATCTAGAACTATCAGTTTTTAACTAGCACTGCAAGTGATTGTGATGCTCGTTAAAATGTGAGATTGGATGGTCCAAGAAGATAAATCAATCTAGTTAGATTATTGGATTAAGGTATGATGGTGCCCTACTCATTCACATCAGGTTATAGATCAGATATCAGCTACAAAGGACCACAGGGACGTGGATTGTCCATAAGAACAGAGCCCCAAACCGTACTGACAGGCTCCGAGCTGATTCACACTCCTAGCTGCCGTATAGAACAGAACAGCTCCTTGGGGTTTCTAGAACTATAAAACTTTAAGGGAGCAGACAGCCTCATACTTCCCCACGAAGCAGCTAGTGAATTTAAATCAGCCACCTTTGGTTTAGCAGCCGAACATTTTATCCACTGTGCCATCATGGCTTTTCCTTCCTGCCAAGTTATTCTCCCTCAATAAACCCACAGTTCATCTGGAGACACCTTTTCCTTAATGTATATTCAATCATTGTCTCTATTTTTCCTGTAGTGAAGTCAAGAAAATACCACCTTCTATTTCTGGGGTAGGCGTGATATCAAAGGGTATAAACGGCTTACCATTGATGGAGTCTGCCAAAATCTTAAGCTGTTGGGCATTATCCAAGACCTCAATCCTTTGAGTGTAAGGATCATAACGCACCGAGAAGGGACGAGGGATCGTGGCAGCAAAGTTCCTAAAACCAAAACCACAGACTTAACCACTTGAGGAAAACTAACGCTAGAAAATGTCTCAGTGGTATTTCACTGTGCTGTTCATACTGAGGAAACCTCACTGGAGTTGATGCTTCAGAAGCAAAGGTTGAGAAGTGAAATGAGTTTCAGGAAAGTTCTTTGAGGGAGCTTCCACATTCTGTGTGCCTGTGTGTATATACAATATACACACATATACAGCGGCAGTATCAGCTGATACCAGTATCAGCTTCAGTTGAGTCAACTTGCACTTATGGAAAACCTATGTATATTAGAATATAATTTGTTTCCACAAGCCTGAATTTCAGGAAGTAAAGCACCAGGTCTTTCCTGCAAGGTATCTGAGGGTGGACTGGAACTTCCAGTCTAAGGGGAAATAACTGCATGTGTAAACTGCGTGTGTTCCTTAAAGATTTCTAGCCCTAGAAATTCTATAGCCCTAGAATTCTATTCTGTTTTGTATGGTAATCAATCCCCCCCATGAATACATATTTATTTATTCACTTTGTTCCACAAATAGTGACTTTACAACAAAAGCTAAGATTATAATAATGTAAAAGACCCTTATTATTTAATAAAGTCAAAATAATGAGTAAAATCTGGTCAAGAAATGTTATATATAAAAAAAAAGCTCTCAGACTCCTGAAAAGCAATTTTAAAGTGGAAATAACTCTTACGGTCAAAGAAAATATTATATTAATAGTAAAATTGAATATATATCTGGAAATGTTAATTTTCCAGCTATTCTATATTCTTTACAAATACCATTCTTAACTTAATTTTCACAACAATTTGATGTGGAGCTTACTTTTACTGTTCTCATTTTAGAGATGAGGAAATAGAGATTTAGGGAAAGCACGTGGCTCAACAAAGTCATCTTGCCAGGAAGTTGTGAAAGTGGGAAGAGAAATGGGCAATTTGACCCTTGCCTGTGCTCTTAAATTCTTTACCATCTTTTTTTCCTTGCTCTGAGATGAATCTGACATGAGGGCCTGTATAAAGAACACAGGACCCTATAATTACCAATGAGTTTTGAAATGGTTTCTAAAGTACAAAGTCTTAATAAATCATAATTCTGAGTTGCCCCCCACCCTGGTTAAAGTAGACGCTGTCATTCCGACAAGTCCAAGGGAGACGGTAGGACTCAGTGACTTTGACAAGAATGGGATAGCCCAGTGATTAGAAAATCAAGCTCTAGAGTCAGACTGACTGGGTTCAAATGTTGCTCTGCCAGATTAGAAGCTTATGTGGCCACGCTGTACTTAAGAGGGTTTGGTGCCTGGACTTAACAGCTACATTGAGTGGAAAGCATCAGGTGACTGACTGTGTTGCCAACCATGAGTTGTTCTGAAAGGGCATATCTACCCATTAAACTGGGAAAACAGATGCCACTAAAGAGATCACCTTCCAACAGAGTGGAAAGGGTCAAGGGCAGGTAGCCTGAGGAGATAAATTCTTATTTGCTCCTCAAAACTGCTCTAGGCATTAGGTTTCATGCTCCTAAACAAACCACAATCACTCACACATCAATGATTTTCATGGGACTTGTTGTACTGAACCAGACACAACTGGGAAATACACAGGGCTGATGGCCTACCTTGGCCTGTGACTCACCTCACTTTTTCCTTGGCATCACTGAAGCTTTCAGCCACATAATACACAGGCTGGAAATCTGTGATACTGTACTCCTGGGTAGCTGTCTTCTCCAGTTCCAGGGGGAAGAGCTTCGGCTTATCTGATAAACAGTACTGTTGGCCCCAGGTGAAAAAAGTTTTCATTAAACCAGGGATAGTGGGCTCCAATGCCTCCCATATGCTGTTTTTGCATCTTCTCCCATGCCATTTTGATTCTTAGTACACCTTAGCCCAAATGTTGCTGTGAGTCTGAACCAATTCATAGCTAACCCTCCAGTGAGATTTTAGAAGCTATAACTTGCGTGGGAGGAGATTGCCCATCTTTCTCACAAGGAGCAGCTGGCAGATTTGAACAGCATGCCTTTTGGTTGGCAGCACAACTCTTTCATCACTAGATCACCAGAGCTGCCTACCTCAAATGTGGTAAACCAAATTATCCAGCCTATCTTATATCCACCACATGCCTCTGGAAACTCTATGAACTTGGAGAAACAACGATAGTTCTAGAAAGGCCTCTGGTCTTTTGTTCACAGGGTCGCTATGAGTCATGCTCAACTCTCAGCAATCAATGACAACAGCAACAACAATCCTAGATCCTACCCTTTCTACTCTACTCATCGCTATCAGATTATAACCAACTCATAACTAACCAATCAGTGGGCTTTCAGAGGCTGTAAATCACACTAGAGGAGCTTGCCTTTCTTTCTCCCAAGGAACAGTTGATGGATGGAACTGTGAATCCTTTGTCTAACCTTGCAATTCCCCACCCACTTGGTCACCAGAGCTCCCTGTTGTTGTTATTTGACATCAAGTTGAACCAACTCATAGTTGCCCCTCCAGTGGACTTTCAGAGGCAGTAAATCACATGAGGGGAGATTGCCTATCCTTCTCTTGTGGAGCAGCTGGTGGATTTAAATTGTTTTTCTTTTGGATTTCAGAGCAGCTTCTTACCAGTAGGCCACCAGAGCTCCCTACAGCCAAGACAGAAGGGAGTACTTTATTTACTCCAGCCCGAATCAAGTAAGATGATCAACAGAAACAAAATATATTGTCTAAAATGTGTGTATGCAAATCTGTAGGTGTAGTCCAACCTTTGAGCAAGGAGGATCCTCTGAATTGGATATCTGTGCATTTGTATCCTCTACATCTAATACCATAGTCATGCTAAGGTACCGACCAGTCACTGGGGAAGGAAATCCCAGAGTATAACTCAAAATGTATATACTGTGATTTCAACAGCATTAAAAAAAAAGGTTTCCTGTACCCACGCCTTAAAATCCATCCTTGATTTTTGTTAGAGCCATACCTGTAATTCACCAAAAGATGATAGGAGCCCAGCACCGTATGCCTTTATGGAGTCTCCTTCCTTGCAGAGCCCAAACTCCACAGTGAACCAATAAATCTGCAATGGAAACTCAAGCTGTGAGCACATCCTAAGGAACGGGATGAGAACATATATCCTATGTCTAAGAACAACAAGGATCAAATGGGAATCTATGCAGGGACGTTTTATGAGCAAGCATGGATCTAGGGTCACTTCTCTGTGTTCTATGTCTCACAGTATTTAGTCACTCATTGAATCAATAGCTGAACAAAGACAAAATACGATAGAAGGTCATGAAAGGTCCTTATGAGATCCCCCAAAGGTGAGCCTTCACAGGACATCTCCAACACATTCTTCATCCGTAACAGGAACTCTTCAATCCCTTTTGCTTTTGTCTACTGTAGAGAACATTAATTGAGTGAGATATTCCATTAAATTGGACAGGCTTCTTGGGGAATCCCTTCAGGATCAGCAGAGGAAGGTAGGAGGGTTTGGTGATACAATTAATGAGAATCTCATCATTCATTCTAAAATTTAGAGTGTTTATGACATTTCAGGTTTCAGCCATTACAAGTACTAAACAAGTCCTTTTCTTTCAGCTATCCTAGTTCAACGTGTCCTAAATGCCTAGCATGGAGAAGATGGATCTAGGATTCTGGCATAAACCTTACTAACAGAGTCAAGAAAAACCCAGAAACCAGTCAAGTCCTGGAGACAATCGCGGTCTTAAAGAATAAAGGGTTGGCTACAATTTAATTTCTTGAACTGTTTTATTCTTTTTTAGCTGATATTCAGGTGACCTCTGAATATGGTGACCCTATGACATCCCTGTGATCTTACGTCATTCCTATGATCAGTTAAGGAGCAGACCATTCTATAAGTTTTTCACTGGCAATTTAAAACATTCCATTGTCAGACTTTTTCTTCCTAGTTCATCTAAGCATGGAAGCTCCTTTGAAAATTGTTCAGCATCATACAAAAATATAAGTCACTACTAAAAGATGGATAATGGTTGTATATGTTGTGCACTGGCCAAAAGTAAAGTTTCTCATACAGGAAGCAGGAATTCTACCATGAACCACCAACACCTTGTTTTATTGTACTAACACTGTTAAGTCTGTGAAAGCTTCTGGAGCTCAGTCAATCAGATCTCACATGCAGATAAGGAGTCTTCAACTCAGGGAGGTGGAAAAATGTGCATAAGGCAACATGAACACAAGGCTATTCCAGCCCAGGAAGTCAATAATCTCAAGAGTTTTTATGAATACTACAGAGTGGGTGTGGGGGGTTTTGATCATTGTTATATCAAACAATAGGATATTATGAGTTCCTACAAGTTAATTTCCTTCTTATAAGTGACAAATTCTACCTCTGTCTACAGCTTCTTTGAAAGCTACTTCTTGCATATATAAAGATCCTGGAATTTAAAAAATTATGTTCATTTAACTCTTTCAAGCCTCATGATGGACTTTTGAGATTGGCAGGATACTAGTTACTCTACTCATTTGAATTACGATGTTGACAAAGACTATTAAACATATCACAGACTGTCAGAAGAATAAATAAATCTCTCTGGGAAGAAGTACAGCCAGAATTCTTAGAAGCAAGGATGGCAAGACTCCATCTCACGTACTTTGGACAAGTTATCAGGAGGGACCAGTCCCTGGAGAAAGACATTATGCCTGGTAAAGTAGAGGGTCATTAAAAAACAGGAAGGCCGCCAGCAACATAAAATGACACAGTGGCCGCAGAAATGGGTCCAAACATACTAACGATTGGGAGATGACACAGAGTCAACTAGAGTTGTGTTCTATTGTCTATAAGATGGGGAGCACTGGCTGCAAGTTGTAAGGAGCTGCGCTGCTAACCCAAAGATGAGCTTCTACAGACTGATTCAAACTCACCAGTGGTTCAGTAGGACAAAGTTGGGCAATCTCCTCCCATGCGATTTACAGCCTCCAAAAACTCTCTGGAAGGTCAGCTTTGAGTTGGTTTCAAGTCTACAGATATGAGTTTGAATTTTGGTGTGTGTCCCATATAAGATAGATATCAATTAGGCCTCACTCAAAAGTACCTAACAACCACAACAAAAACAACAACTAACTTTCGAAGATGATGGAAAAGTAGCTCATTTCTAAGAGTCTCAGAGCAAAGTGGTCAACAGGAATGTTTGACCTTTCTGATGAATGGCATTTGTAAATTTCCACATTGCCACATATTAATGATGGATTCTTAATGCATTTGAGTTCCTAGAGTTTACAACTTTTTTTTTTAACTTCCAGCCAGAACAAATGATAAGAAATTTGACCTTTACACTGAGGAGATAAGTTCTCAGATTGAAAAATGCGCAAAGGGTAATGATCTGCTCTATAAAGTCACTGCCTCAGTGGAAGAGTCTCATCAGACTTGCCCATGAGAGGGACATGTTTGGGAAGAAGAGGAAGCCCACTCCCATTTCCATCTTTGTTGTCTGGGGAAGGAAAGACTCCAGTGCTAACTTCAGTGCAGAGTAGACTCTATCAGCCACTCTGAGGGAGAGAACTATGGCAATCTGTTTCTATAAAGATTTGCTTTCTTAGAAATTCTATGAAGAAGTTCTATCCTGTCCCATAAAGTCATTATGAGCCAGAATCAACCTTGTCAGCACTGAATTTGGTTGTTTTTCTTGCTTTGTTTTTGATTAATGGTGTCTTGATGATATTTAGCTTATTTTTTAAAAAAAATATTGTTATTTGAGTGAAAGTTTACAAAGTAGACTTGTTTTTCACTCAATTGCTCAAATACATTTCATATTCTAAAAATTAAAATAACCACAATGTAGTCACACTTTCCCCACTTCCTTCCTGTAATTCTCATTTCCCTTAATCCTTCTTTTCTATGCTTTCATTCCTTCAAGGACTTATTCTCAGTAGATAGTGCTCTATTGATTTTTTTGGTTATCCTAGACATTGAATGTTTCTTTGATCACCTTGTAGATCTACTTATTATTTTGGTGGAAAGCTGAGCTTCAGGAGTGACTTTTATTCCAAGTTCGAAGGATAATGAAAGGTCTTTGTCTCCTGGGTTCCACAAGTCTCTGTCAGACCAATAAACATGGACCTTTTTATGGTTTTGAGTTAAGACCTTCTTGTTTAAAATGACACATAAATATCGAGTACACACCTGATTTCAAAATTAAACCATTAAGGAAACATCAAAATATGAAATTTCACATTTGCTAATGCATTCTGGTACATTCTAATATTGTTTCCTCAGGAGAGGAGTAAAGCCACAATGATATAGAGAATATGGGCTATAGGATTCCCACCAAGGAACGCCGGAATATGGAAAGTATTACCGTGGCAAGCTTCTCAATGTATTCGTCAGGCGCACCCAGAGAGGCAAGGCCAATTTCCTGTAATTGTGGAGAAACAGAGTTATTAGCATGTATGGCGTCTCTGTATCTTCAGCCTTTACTACAGGGCAAAGCTGGCCCCTGACCAGAAAGATGATGTGAGGCCAGATACCTTCAGAAGAACTAAAAATAATCTTAAACACTTTGTCAAGCTTACCCTGTTGACAGTCATAGCATTGAGTTCTAGAACAGGGTAAACCTTTCACTATAAACCTTTTATTTGCTTCACAAATGAGAACACTGAGGCTCAGAGAAGGGAGGTGACTAGTCCAAGTTCACATGGTAAATTCAAGTCTGATGCCTCATCTCCACTCTTGCTCAGTAGTTTTCTGTTCAAAGCACAGCTGGAACATTTCTGGAACACTCAGATGAGTTTTAACTATGTAAAATATAAATATCACAAATGAATTACAGAAAAGTTATCCAGATAGATAGATATAGAGATAGAGAAACAGAGATAGAGGATATAGATGATATAGAAGATACAGATGATATTTAGAGATAAAAATAGAGATAGATAAATTATATGTATATAATATGAAATATTATTGACAATTTTCCACACAGCAGAATTACTCTACTAGTCTCATTTACTGCATTTGCTCCAGTCTGCCTTGTGACTTACTTATATTTATTTATGTATTTGTCTTTTTTATTATATTGTTCATTAAAAACCTTAGTGCCTTCCCTGTTTTAGTATTTATTTAGTGTCTTCTACATGGTAGATATTAGTCTAGAGACTAAGATGCACCTTATCCAGGCCATAGTCTTTGCATTTACTTGCTGTGTATCAAAGAGCTGGACAATGATCAAGGATGACAAAAGAATTGATGCCTTTGAACTGTGGTGCTGAAGAGTACTGAACATACCATGGACAGCCAAGAGAACTAACAGGTCTGTCTGAGAGAGAGTGAAACCAAGCTGCTCCTTGGCAGCAAGGAGTTTAAGACTCTGTCTGACATACTTTGGGCATGTAGCCAGGAGAGACCAGTCTTTGGAGAAAGCTAGCATGCTTGGAGGGGTCAAGGGACAGCACAGAAGAGGAAAGACCTGAATAAGATAGACTGACACAATAACTGAGGTGATGAGGGTAGATATGTCAGAGACAGTAAGATTGGCTCAGAATAGAGCCGAGTTCAGAGCTATTGTGCACTAGATTGCTATGAGTCATACTTTGAGTCACAGTTGACACAGTGACACATAACAACAACATGGTAGGCAATCAACAAAATGAAAAAATATCCTTGTCCTGTGGTGTTTAAATCTGAGAGGGCGGAGAGAGGAAATTAATAATAAGCATATACACAGTTTTCTTCAAAGATGTTAACTCTCCACTGGAAAGAAAAAAAATAAAAGTAGACAAGAAGAAGGGGGTGGATTATGGCAAGGGAGTGAAAAAGGTTTTCATTTGAAATAAGGTTGCAGGTTAAATATCATGAGAAAATGATTTTTTAAGTAAAGACTTAAAGGAAGTAGGGTTGTTAGTTCTGGTGACATCTAAGGCTATTGTATTGCAGGCTAAGTGTACCCCTCCTCCCGGGGTTCTTTAATGCAGAAAGATGCTAGTGGGTTCAGGACACAATGAGAGACCTGTGTGGTTTGAAAAGTGAACAAGTAAGATAAGAATGGTAGAGGATATCAAACAGGCATGTTGGACCAGATCACATAGATAGAGCCTTTTCAGCCAAATTAGGGTCTGGGCTTTTCATTTCAGTGACATGGAAATCCATTGTAGAATTCTGAGCAAAGCAATTATGTAATCTGAGTCATGTGATCAAGGACTGAATCTGAATTCTATGTGAGAACAGGAGCCCCATGGCAGAAACGGTGGAGGTTCTCGGTGAGCCCCCCAGATGGGAAATAAGAACAATGATGATTAGGTTGTGATGAATAGGAATTGTGATGAGAAAGTGTGAGACTTTTCCACTGATGATTAAACAGGAAATAGATTTTTGAAGGTAGAATACATATTTTTCTGAAAGATTACTTGTGGGTCGTGTGGGAAAGAAAGAAGTTAATGATGAAATAGATTTTGCTCTTTGTTTGTATGCAATACTAGAAGCATTCCTTTGCTCCACATGCTTTGGACATGTTGCTAGGAGGTGCTATTCCTTGGAGAGGGACTTGATGTTGGGAAGGGTGGAGGGCTGGCGAAGGAGAGGAAGACCCTCAACCAGGGGGATTGAGAAGGTGGATGCTGCAGTGGGCTCGTGTGTGTCAGGAAGTGTGAGGATGGCGCAGGACAGGACTGGGCCCTGATCTTTTGTTCATAGGATCGGATCACTAAGAGTCGCACTTGACTCGACAGCACTTAACAACAACAATGGCATTATCAAAATTGATATGAAGAGGGCTCTGAGGAAGAAGCCCTAGTGGTGCGCTGGTAAAGTGATTAACTGGAGGTTCCAATCTAGCTGCCACTCCAGGCATAGATGAATACTGATTGAATATATAAAATACAATGAATATGAATGGTTGTATAAAACACAATGTACATTAATTAAATAAAGTATACCAATCATTGTATGCAAACTAACAAAAAAATTTAAAAAGAAGAGTGAAAGAGAGGTTTTTTTAATCAGCTCGCTCCTGTGGGGATTGAGGAACAGAGTAACTCTCCCAGGTCACAGAGGTGGTGTTTCTGCAGTCAAATGCTCTACCACTGAGTTACACCCCCATGGGGTTTCTGAGTACATCAAACCATAACGCAACTCTCCCATGGTCTCAGCAACCCCACCATAGTTCTAGGCTGCTTCTTAGTGCCCAGAGAGAACAACAGACTTCTTTAACTTATCCAGAAAGCGTCCTTTGAGTCTTCTCACCACTGTGAACTGCAGCAAAGATTAATTGAAGTCTAGTCTGCTGCTTTGATGCTGGTGATGAGACATTTGGATCTTTCTTTTAGCCAGCCATGAAACGGATGATTCACACTGTATTTTTAGAAAATGTCCTTTCATTTAATCAGGGAAGAAATACAATTAAGGGGCTAATGTGGAAAATCCCAAAGTATCCAAATGAAAAGGAGGAAACCCTGGAAGAAAGTGAAGTTACTTCTTTCATAGATGGAAGAGCTCTGGAAATATATGTGGTAGGGCCAAGGAAATTGGCAAGTTCAACAACACACATAATTCGGAGAGTGAGTGACTCCCCTCCCCCACACTGGGGATCCCTGGAATGGCTAATTAACCTGTTCATTCCCAGGTGTCACAGCAACACTGCACCTGGTTTCCACCTCTGTGGAGGACATAAGGACACCATTCCTTTGAGCAATCCAAATGCTAGTCTTAACACGAGAAAATGAAAGAGATTTGCTTCTTACCTGGGAAAACTGGGCAAAGTTACGGTCTGAAAACAAAGGTACATGTCCCAGCAGTTCATGGCAGATGTCACTGAAAGAAAAATGCAAAGAGCTTGGCAGGAGAGAAGGTTATAAGCAAATGGCACAGTTTTCCTATCTAAAGACTGGGCAGGAAGAAAGGCATGAACCCAGTTGGGTTTATGGCCTCATTCCCAAGAATGACTGGTGTGTAGAGCTTGAGGTTTGAAGACCCAGGAGAAAAGGTAAAATAGAAAAGGAAGAATGGAACTGTGGAAGTTTGAACAAGCCAGAATACCATAGTCAGGGGATCCTAGGAGTGTGTGCAGTGGAGTGCGGAACAGGAAAACCAATGTTATTCCTATTTATCTGAAAGAACTGTGGGTTGTGAGTATCTCTGTCCTGGTTTATCCTTTGGTTTGGGGTCCCTGTGAAGATATCATATGCTCAGTTATTCTTGAAAGGATTACAAAAATAGTCCTATTCCTTTCTTAACAAGTCAGGGAAGATATCCTCTATTTATTTAACATTTCACATGGCAGGTCCATTACAGGGAGGTCTCTTTTGATTTGTGGGCAGGAAAAAAAATAATTTTGAAAATTCCATTGTTTTAGGATTTGTTTTGTTTTGTATTGACTATGTATGTTCGATCTAGCTGAGATAATGATGGTGACACCAAAGTGGCCAGTCCTTCTCTAACTTCAACCACAATGCAATGTAGGCAAATAAAGATTAAAACCATCCCAAGGAGCTGGTGGATTTGACAAAGACTATTAACTATTGTATGAGCTGTGAAAAAGACCCCAGATCTGGAAGAAGTGCGAGCAAAGAGTGCAAGTTCATTGTAAGTAAGGGTGGTGAGACTTTAACTCACACACTTTGGACATGTACTCAGGAAGTGCCAGTCCTTGGAAAAAGGCATGCTGGGAAAGGTCAACTAGAGAGAGAGAATGACCCCAAAGGAGGTAGACTGACACAGCGACTGCAACAACGAGCTCGGACTGCAACAACGAGCTCGAGCATCGCTGAGGGCGTGAGCACGGTGAAGGACAGGTAAGGTTCTGATCTGCTGGTCACAGGCTCCCTATGACTCCTCGCTGACTCAGTGTTGCCTACGAACAGCAACAAAGGTATGGTGTGTTATGTGTTGCACTGATCAGTTAGTAGTCTGAATCCACTGGTTGTTTCCCTGAAGAAAGAGAAACAATCTTAAAAAAACAAAAACAAAAACCCACATCCCATAATAATTCCAAACTCATTGCTGTGGAGTTGGAACCAACTCATAATTTACCCTCCACCAAGTGTTTGGAAGGCTGGAAATCACACGGAAGGAGATTGCCCACCAATCTCCCCAGGGGCTGCTGGTGAAGTCTCACCCCCAGAGAGGCACCACTTTCGAGATAACAGTGCAATTCTCCACAGATTACACCACCAGAGCTCCCCAGTACACATATATCCAGGGAGTTGTTACGGTAACATTAGCATAACCACCTCTTGTCTCTGTTTCCACTTGGAACTCTATGGTTCTAACTTCTATAATATCTTCAGAACTTCATTCCTACTGTCAGGAGGCTATGAATACTGACACAGGATTCCCAGGTGCCCAAATCTCCAATCAATCTAGTCTAAGATGATAGCAAATTCTCAAAGTGAGGGAGTTTCTGTCTAGCTGTCACCATTTAAAAAGTCAGTCAACTATCCTTATAAATCAGCCCACAATGAGCCCAGACCTCATTCTTGGGGAAGAAGGATATAGTGTTTGCTAAGGCTTGCTAAGTCAGAATCCTCTCAAGGATTACTAGCAAAGGCAGTGGCTGACTGCTGGGGTTAATACTCACGGTTCAGGCGTGTACATGGGTTTGGAGCTGTGCCTGATGTACTGTGTGCAGTGGAAGACTCGGAAGGCCAGTCCACCCAAGAAATCTCTAGAGGAAAGCAGGCCAGCTACAGGCCGGAGCCGGAAACCAGTGCAAGCTGAGAAGCACAAAGGGAAAACCAAAAATAAAATACACTCACATGTCACCACATTGGAACCAGAGAAGAACGGGAGATGCTGGCGTGAGGGAGTCACACACCCAGCTGCTAGGGAAAAGGCTTTGATACCAAGTTGGCTTGGCTTTGAGTCTCTGATCTCAAGTGACTTTTGCATGGTGACTCAAGTCAAGTTCTTTCATTTCTCTAGGCCACAGTAAGCTTATCTTCAAGATGAGGATAGGTACCTCTTAGGATTATTCTACTGAGAGAGAGAGAGAATGATTATTAAATACTTACCCCAAAGCCTAGCACATTGGGAGAACTTGATATATTTAGCTGTAACTATTTTCAAATCCACCAGCTGCTTCACTAGGGAAAGATGAACAATCTCCTCTCACATGATTTACAGACTCAGAGACCTGATGGAAGCTCACCTAACAGTCATTTTTTTAAATCAAGGACAATGGATGAATGACAGTGAGTGATTATTATAGAAAAAAAAAACCCAATCATTAGTGGGAAGGGCACTTGGGCTCTACTTTCTTTGTACTTGCAGAGTGAGGAAAGAACTGTCACTACACTTTCCAGAAAGAAAAAGTATCAAAGCAGTATTCTTCCACTATCCCCACGACATCTGACACACTCCACTCCATGAGCAACAGTGACTGTTCTGACTGGAGTGTTTAGAAAGATGTTTTACTAAGAACAAAAATGCCATACAGCTTCATCAGTTCGAATCTGTGCTTGGCTCTGGAGAGGAAAGATGGGAGGTCTCCTTGCATTAAGATTTACAATCTTGGAAATCCGATGAAAGGTTATTATAATCAATCTGTGGGCAGTGAGTTTGAGTTCTGATGCTTTTCCATTGAAGGACACATTCTGGTCTGCTCTTGGCCATATGATGAACTATGTCCCATGCCAGTTAACTAGCAGGTAAGCTTATCTAATTCAGGGTTTAAGGTATTTGGGACTGTATTTTGGCAGTATATTTATGAGTCTAGTTTTTCTTGGGAGAATCAACCTCCATGCATTGCCACAAACACTCAAAAATCACTCAATGGGAAAGATCTTTTGTGAAAAACAATGCACTCAAACTTTGTAAATCAGAATAAAATTTAAAAACAGCCACTCAAATTTCCTTTCTTCTTTTCCTGCCCCACCCTTCTTCCCCTCTCCCAACCTTCCCCCATCAGTTCCCAGGGGGTCTTTCGCCCTGACTTTGACTTACTCTGTAGAAATTGAGAGACATCTTCTAGTTGCGGAATGTTATCTTCCCGGAAGCCGCAGTACTTTTCCAGTAGTGGGAAAATGTGATTGTGTTCGTAGCAAGCGTGGGTTTTGTACAAGGACTTCAGGGTCCTGAACACCGTTCCCCAGGTTTTCTTTTCTTCTTCTGTGTATTCCACTCGAGGGATGGGCTGTCCACTAGAAGACAAGCAAGAAGTATTTTAATCCAGCAGGACCGAGAAGAGGACGAATACGAAGTTGGTGAAGTGAGACAGAACACGGAGCCTGCAAGAGTCACCACCCAGACTGTGTTGCTGGTCCTGTGCCTTTCCACTGAGTCTGACTCCCAGCCATCCATGTGACAGAGGTGAAATGCCCTGTAGGGGTTTGCAGGCTATAATCTTTCGAGGAACCTATCTCCAGGATTTTTTTTCCCTTCTCATGGAGACACTGAGTAGGTTCCAACTGCTAACCGTTTTAGTTAGTAGCTGAGTGTTTAACTATTACACCACCAGAGCTCTTTGCCTAGACTCTGATGTATTTAAAATGCTATTTTAAAGAAGGTAAGCCCACTTCTTGGTATCAGACACATTTATGTCTCTTTTCCATGTGGAAGAGTGATTTGACTAATAACAATATAAGCTCTCATCTCGCCACCTATACCGAGAATATGCTATGTCATCGGGAGAAGTCACTCAGCTTTTCTGCCCTCATATAGTATGTGAAAACTGGAGAGTAAAGCAAGGAATTTGAAAGGAGAAACACTGATGACTTTGTACCGTGGTGTTGCTGAAGAATACTGGATATACAAAGGAGTGCCAAGTGAACAAACAAATCTCTCTTAACAAGAAGGGAAGCCAGCGTGCTCCTTGGAGGTGAGAATAGTGAGACTTTTGTCTCATACACGTTGGGCATGTCCTCAGGATAAGCCAGTTCCTGAGGAAGAATATGATGTTTCATGGGTGAAATAGAGTAAAAAGGGGATTGTCACAGTCGTTGCATGCAATGGTCCAAGAACATCAACAACTGTGAGAAAGGCACAAATCAAGGCAGTGTTTCATTCCACAAAGAGAATGGCTAAGAGTCAGAAATCGCTACCACAGGGCCCAGCAATAGCCTCTCTAATCATATCCCTGAGTGGAAAATCACTTAACTTTTCACAGCCAGGCAGGTAACAAAAATACATAAAGTAACAGGTGTAAGATAGCTAGGAAGATGGAGAGTGAGCTGAATGGAAGAATCCCTCCTTTTTCTAAGCTAAACAATCTCTGTTTGAGTTGAAGCAACATAGGGTCTTACACCACGTCAGTCTGTAGGATAAACTGGGTGCTGTACATTGTCTATGAGCCTGAAACTCCTTTTAAAGTAAAGCATGAGTAGATTTGATATTTCCGACCCTGAGAAGTTGTCAAGGAATTTCTGTGACTAGTAGACACAAGATTCCTTTATCTGAGCATGTTTGGCTATGATATAACAGAATTGCACGGTGCTTGTTATGGTTATGCTGGGCCTGCCCAAAGGTCTTGATTGTGTCAGAGAGGGGAGGCCCAGGCATCTGGCTTCTGACAAACTCTAAGAAACACTATATTGTGAGAGTCTTTAGTTTGAGGGATCCATTTCAAAGCTGTCTAAGAATGATCTGAATGTTCCAAACAGCAAAAACAAAGAAAATCAACCAAAGGCCGATTTCAAAAAACTAGTGACGTGCTTTGGGCTCCAGACCTGTCACGCCTGTTTTCTGTAACAGGGTACACAGTGTCTGGGACAAGGCAGGGCTGTTTACTTTGGAACCATTGATTATCACTAGGCTTTCAAGCAGGTCCCTTCTGTCCTTTCAGAGTTGTAGCATAACAAGGACATTAAAGCCATTGTTATTTTCTACAGAAAGATAGGCAGGTATCAAAGGGGGGAAAGGACAATGTTTTGCTTAAGAATTGAAGGCAGGTCAACACTGTTTTAGACAGGGATTATGTAAAGGACATTAGCCACTCTCATTCATTCCTGTTGAGTTGGAATCAAGTCATAGTTGACCCGATAGAGGATTTTTCAGATGCTGAGCATAGCACAAGAGGAGACTGCTCATCTTTCTCCATTGGAGCTCCTGGTGGAGTTGAACTGTTGAGAGATGTCCTTAGGAGTTGGCAGTGCAACTCCTCATCTTCTATCCTCCTTCAATACTTCCTGTGGCAATCCATCCTAACCCTGACATCAGTGGCCCAGAACTCCTGCATCCCCGGGAAAAAGCAGACAGGTTTCCAACAGAGTCGGCATACTCAGCTTCCAGCTTTCTAGGTTTTCCTAGGAAAGGTTTCTATCAACCTTGGGCAAGTAATTCTCTTTCTCTGAGCCTTTTAAAAAAAATCTGTCAAATAAAGATGAGCCTACTTTTTAGGGTTGCAGAGAAGATTAAAGATGCAATATGTGAGTATCTGTCAAAGGATTTGGCTACTTTAAGTAATTAGTAAAGGATGATTCCTTGATTGGTTTTTTTTAAGGATAACAGAAACATGACAGGAAAAGAAACTTATTTCAGGATTTATTATGTGCACACACAAACATTAGCTTCCACTATCTATTTAGGAATTAAACTTAGTGCATTTTTTTTAAACTTCTGCTTTTGCTGAGGCATGTAAATTTCTTCAAGATTCTTAACCTTTGAAGAATTTGTTGATTATATTACAAATAAATCAGCTACAGAATTTTTAGAGACAAAATTAGTGGGTCAAGCAAAATGAAGCAAAATCAAGGAGGAAAGAATGTTAGGGTAGTTATCAATGAGGTAAGGAAGTCAGAAACTCATGTTAAAGGCAAAGGTCAAATGAATTAGCTAAAATCAGAAGGAACTCATCACGACTCATGGCAACTCTATAAGCAAAAGACCTAATGCCTTTCCATAACTATTGTCATTTCTCCAAGTTCATAGAGTTTCCAGAGGAATTGGATGCCACTCCTGCTTCCAAACCTGTTTTGCAACTGGGAGCTCCACCAAACACTGTCCATATTGGGTAACCATTATGGTATTTGATACCCCAACGGCACAAGGTTCAGCATCACAGCAAACCCAGATTACTTCATACAGCACATTGACAAAGAGTAATGCACAAAGTGGATGAATGTTCCTTCAAATATAACAACACTAGTCTCATTTAGCAGTAGTTAAGTGTCATCAAAAGGAATACAACTCATAGTGACCCTTATAAAAGACCTGCACTCTGTTCTATAATTAACATAATTTCTGTACGTTTATAGAGTTTCTAGAGGCATCTAGTTTAGGAAGTGGATACCAATCCTGCTTCCCAACCTGAATCAATCTGGCAGCTCCTACAAACATTGTCCATGATGGGTAACCATTATGAATTTGACATGACTCAAGAGCAACGGTGTCTCTCTGGAGACTAAGGTGCACCTGATACAGGCCATGGTTTTTGCAATCACGTGTTATGCATCAGAGAGTTGGACAATGACTGGGGAGGATAGAAGGAGAATCGACGCCTTTGAGCTGTGGTGCTGGAGAAGAGTACTGAATGTGCCATGGACTGCCAAGAAAACAAATAGATTCATCCTAGAGAGGGTTAAACCAGGTTGCTCCTTGGAGGCAAGGATTCTGGGGCTTTGCCTGACATACTTTGGACATGTTATAAGGAGAGACAGGTCTTTGGAGAGGGACATCATGCTGGGCAGAGTGGAGGGACAGCGCAGGAGGGGAAGACCCTCTATGAGGTGGATTGATTCAGTGACTGGGGTAATCGTGATGGATGTGTCAGAGGCAATGAGATTGGCACAGGATAGAGCAGGGTTTAGGGCTGTTGTACATAGGGTCGCTATGAGTCGCAAGCGACTCAACAGCACATAACAACAACAACATGGCACAGTGTTCAGCACCACGGCAACTCTAAGTTATTCAGTACAGCAAATAGACAAACGACTGCTGTATCACTTGAAGAATGTTCATTCTAAAATTAGAATGGCCACCATCAAGGCGCAAGAAGCCAACTCCTGCGTGGAAGCTCCCTGCCAGCCACAGACCTCACTATGAGATTTTTAAAGACACACCCTTTAGCCAGCCTCCACCCTGGGGTCAAAAGTTCAACTGACATCCAATAACACACATCAAACACAACCCAAAACCTTCCCTTACATAACTGCCACTAAGACATGAGAAGCCAATTCCTAGAGTGGAGGCTTCAGGCCAGCTGCAGACCGAACCTCTCTAGCAGAGAAAAATAATCAAGCAAAGTAGCTAAAACCAGGCCTTATTCAAACAAAACCATATGACAAGTAAGGGAGCTCTGGTGGCCTAGTGGTAAGAAGCTGCACTGCAGTCTCAAAGACACGCAGTTTGAGGCCACCAGCTGCTCTGACAGAGAAGGATGGACAATCTCCTCCCGTGCTGTCAGCTGCCTCTAAAAACCCACCAGAGGTGGGGGATCTGATTCTGTGGTATACAACAACAACAACATGATGATAGTTAGCAATCAAGAACAAGAAGTGTATTAGGAAGTGAATTGGGGAAGGGATAAAGGAGGGGATGGGAGGAAACGGCATCAATGAATGCCTGAAACTCCAAACTTTCTGTAAACTTTTACTTAAAAGAACAACAAAACAAACCAAGAAAACAGATAGCCTTGCCTTATTGGGGGACCTAAGTGCCTCACAGCCCTGAAATGCACAGTAAAGACTGTCTCTGAAGCAAGCTAATTACAATTTTAGGTGCTGTGAGATACTCATTATGTGACCAGTAGCATCACGGAAACTGTAGACTGGTGTAAGAACTGCGCACCAAATCTTGAACTTGCGTGGCATCATCCCCATGGTCCTAACTCATGCTCCAAAGTTTGCCCAAATGAGAAAACGAGGCAGCTGTACTAACCAGTAACCCACAGGGCATCCTCTCCATTTCTTTTCTTTTGGAGAGTGACCCATTCCTCTCTCAGGAATGTAACTATCATCATGTCCTCTCCCCTCCTCCCTTTCAATGGGGAGAACCCAGTCCATTCCTCCCTTTGGAATATATCTTTGCTGATAAATTGCTTTTACTTCTATCTTTAGTCCTGTCCTCTTGCCTTTCTTCTCAGTGAGCTGTGTTGTTGTTTTTTTTAAAAATTTTATTATTTTTAATGAAAATTTACAGAGATTTTGGGTTTTCATTCATTCATTGTTGCACTGTTTTCTCCACCCTCCTCCCCA